GCACTACTAGAGGGCCGGGCCCACCAACACCTTGTGGACTTTGACTGCCACCTTGATGACATCCGGCAAGATTGGACCAACCAACAGCTGAACATCCAAATTACCCAGTGGGTTGGTTCCACAAATGAAAATGTCTGAGCTAGGACCAGAGGGTTCAGGATCCAATAAAGAGACTTGGGCTGGTGGGCAACAGTATGACTATATTTATTGTGCCTGGGAGGCAAAGTGAGGAAGATACCTCAATGGTAGGAAGGTAAGGGAAAGTCTGGAATCCCTGGTAAAAAGCAGGAAGATCTCTGCTGTACTCATCACAGAGTGAGAGAGAAGTCTCTCAATAGATCATTCCCTTTGTTTCTCCTCGGGGCTTCTTGAGCTTCTCAAAGTTCTTCAGGATGATGTCATATAACACAGCCTATAGAGCCAGAGAGGAGTGAGGGTCAGTCACATGGTTCTGTACCCCACTTCTAGCCTGTGGAGAGGCCAAACTTTTGTCATTGTTGACACTTAGCCTGCAAGGCCAGGGAGTAGATGACCTAGGAAAGGGGTCTGCCCACCCCTGCCCAGCCCTYGCCCCCTCACATAAGCGTTGCGGATCTCCATGACCATCAGCCGAATGTCCCGGTACTCTGCTTCATCCAACTCATGGACCAGCTGCCGATAATCACCCTGTGGAAACTCAGGGTCAGACCTGATTTGAAATGTGTACTTCCTCCATGCACCCTGACCTGGATATCACCTACCACATGGGGCTGTTTAGCTGCTTTGGTAACTGCATCACCACGCTCAGAGAAATACCTGTGGATAGGAGTATTATGTATGGAGTGGAAGAAGGAGAAAGCCCAGGCCTCTTTCCCCAAACAAACWGAGTGTGTACAGGGGTGCAGGTGGCTGGTCACTTACTTAGAGATTTGAGTGTGGAAGCCTTCCAGCTTGGTGTGAAGGCTAGTCATCAGCTCAAATACCTTCTCCTAGGAAAAGAAAGCATGGTTGTGGGTGTGTGGGGTCGTAGGGAAAAAGATATACAAGTTATACAGGAAGATTGGGGGTAGGGTGATGCTCTTACCTGGACAGCCACTCCAAAATTATTCCCATCCTCAATCCGAGGTATCTGTAGCTGCAACCATGTAGTGACCTGGAGGGAGGGAATAGCATCAAAACCACATCAGCTCACATCCAATTCCAGGATCCCATCTTTCCTTGCCTCCTTCATTTGCTGTGTCCTTTCCTGCTGAGACCTAGCAAGTGCCATGCCCTAACTGTTGGACCAAGAGCACAAAGGGTTTCACATGAAGGCAGGAGGATAGAAGTGGGAGGGCTCACCAGGTTGAGTTGCTCAATGACATCCTTGATTTCAGGTTTCAGACGTTGCAGGAGGACCACAATCTTCTCATTGCAGTTCACTGGGCCACAGGGAGGACCTAGAAAGTGAGCAAGGGGTCAGTTACATGGCAGCCTGTGTGGAAAGGAATCCTTTGGAAGGAGCTCCTGCAGTTTGGGACCCAACTCTTTTTCACTACATAAATTTCAAGTACCTTTGTCTTCATCTTCCCCTTTCTTCTTCTCATCCTTATCTTCCTTCTGTAGGGAAAGAAGGGCTCTTTGGAGACAGGACTAAAGCTGATGATTTTCCCCATGGTTAGGCCCCTCCTCCCAGGTCTCCTAGCTTGCCTCCTGCTGTTTCTTCCGCTCCTCCTTCTCTTTGTCCTTGACTGGATCAGGCACTGGGATGTCTAAAGGGGCCTTCAAATTGCTCAGGTTGGCTTCATTGAGAGCTGGTTCCTGGGTGCAGGGTTGGAGGAAGACTGGAGATGAGGATATCCCTCTCAAGGCCCACCAGACTCTCCTCTTGGCCCCCACTCTCTAGTTCCCTGCCCTGATACCTTTAAAAATGCATCCAATTCAGAAATCTTCTTGGGGAAATAGCTCCCGAGCAGGTTCTCTGTCTGTGTGTGAGGTGGGGGTGGAGGAGGATGGGGTTCAGATTCAAATGYCTTTACAAGGCAGTGAGGCTGGGGTGACACTGCCCAGCAAGGGATGGCTGAGCAGCAAGAGCTGGGTAGAGAAGGGTTGCTGATGGGGCAGGTCTTACCTTGGTACACAGATCTTCACGAAACACATCCACCTGTGGGGCACAGGCAACACTTCAGAAAGGTGGCTTAAGACCARTGTATTTGGGCACAGTTAGAGTTGTGTGAAAGATGGAGTGGATCCCTYCAAAGTGACACCTGAAGATGGGGGATGGGTCCCTGTGAGGGTGGACTGGAGTGGTGGAGGAGGGGATCTCTGCAGACCTGAATATGGGGAGGGTGAAGTGGATCCCTGTGAAGCTGGATTTGGGGGATGAGAACATTCCTGGCAGTGAATGGTGACAGGTTTAAGTCTCTCTAGATGAAATGCAAAGGCCCTGGGGTCGCCTGGGTTGTGTGAGGAGGAGTGTGAAGAGAGCCCTCTGTCAGTGGGCTGGGACGGAGTGTCCCACAGAATGAGATCTGAAGCCCTTTCTAAGGGAAAGACCGCGGTGGCAAGGGCAGGTCTGGCGCCCCAATTGTGTGTGGCCCCGGGGTTCTGGGCCAGTGGACTTCCCCTCCTGTCCTGTTCTCTGCTTCACCTCACTCCGCTGAAGCATGGCCACCTCGCCTCTCCCGGGGCTCAGGTGCTTGGGGCACGTAGCCCCCACACAGGTGGCGGCTGGGCAGCGGGCCAGGGGCCGGGGGCGGGTCAGGGGAACCCTCAGCGTCTCCGAGCCACGCCTCCCCAGTGGCCTGTGCTCCAACCCGCGGCGCTCACCTTGGCTTGGGCTTCAGGCTGGACCCTGAGTGTGGCCATGGCGGGGGCGAGGGGCCTCGCGCCGCACGAGGAGCCGGGAGTGGGCACCGGGAAGGGAAAGCGAAAGCAGCGCTCGCTCGCAACCCGCACGGCCTTCCTGGGTACTGGGGAGTGGAGGGACTGGAGGAGGCGGGGACTGCCCGGGAGTGGGGCGGGGCGGACCGCGCAGGAAGGCTGCTGAGTCTGGGCTCCCCCTAGAGCCCCAAAGGAGTGCTTCCTCCCGGTTCCTCCGCCTCTCCGCCCTGCTCTGGTTCCCGCCTCCAAGGCTGGCCTTCAGTCTCGCATCTCCCCCCGCCTCTCAGTGCCAGCCTTCTGCCTCCGCCCCTCCAGCCTCTCTCTGCCCCGGCCTCCCATCTCCCTTCCTCCGCCACCGGCTCTGTTCTTCCCCTGCTCGGCCTGGAACAATAAACCTTATTTGGTATTCTTCTGTTTTTTTGTTTTTTCTAAAATGGAACAAAACCTGGCATCTGTTCCCTAGCCTCTCCAGTATGGTCCCCTGGCTACATGGGCATCCTCTGTCCCACCAATCCATATTCAGACATTGGCACCATGCCTACTCAAGCCCTTATCTGCTCCCCTCGGGACCGGAGCTGCAGACTCCATTCCTCTATGACCTGCTCTCGCAGAGCAACAGGTCTCTCTAGATGAAATGCAAAGGCCCTACCTGACACTTGTCTCCCCTTCAAGTTCACTCTCTATTTCTTTCCGCCTCATTCATTACACTTGCAAATACTTGGGTTTTTCATTTGTCTTTCAAAGGCCTCTTGTTCATTTCTGCCTCAGATAATTTGCCCTTGAGAAACCCTTTGCCTCAAACACCCTTCCCTTGGATGTTGACATTCAATTATCAGATCAGCTGTTTCTTCTTCAAGGAGATCTTTCTCCATTATCCCTTATAAAGTACTTCTCTCCAAACTTCTGTTATAAATCAGTGTTCTAGTGCCTTCACAGCACTTATCTCTGATATTAGCCAGTTTGTGGTGTGTGTGTGTGTGTGTGTGTGTGTGTGTGTGTGTATTTGTGTGTGGTTAAGAGAGGGTAATGTAGTGGTTTAAACTAGGGCTAAGCAATCTTTTTTTTTTTTTTTTTTTCTGTAAGAAATGAGATGGTAAATATTTCAGGCTTTCTGGGCCTTACTGTGTCTGTAGCAACTACCCAATTCTGCCATTGTAACAGAAAAGCAGACTATATAAATGAATTAGTGTGGCTAGGTTCCAATAAATATTTATGGACACTACAATTATAGTTTTATATAATTTAAATGTGCCATGAAATGTTATTGATTTTTTTAGCCACTTAAAAATGGAAAAATCAGATGCAGCCATACATGACTGCAATCTCAGCCGCTAGGGAGGATGAGGCAGGAGGATCAAAAATTTGAGGACAGACTCAGCAACTTAGCAAAGCTCTGCCTTAAAATAAAAAATGAAAGGGTGTGTGTAGATCAGTGGTAGAGCGCCCCTGGGTTCAATCCCCAGGGAGCTGGGGGAGAGGGAAGTAAACCACTTTTCGTTCGCAGGCCATACAACAACTGGCCACAGGAGGGCAGTAATTGGCTAATCCCTGGTTTAGGGCACAGCCATTGCACCGTTATTGCCTGGGTTTCTGTTCCTGTCTCCTCAGTATCTGTGAACAAATTACCTAGCCTCTGTGCCTGGGTTTTTGCAATTGTGAAAGAGGAACACTATTAAATCAACCTGATAGTGTTGTTTCGAGGACTAAATGCATTAATTTATATAAAAACTTATAGATATTTAGACATTGTTAAATAAATGAGCACAGAGATGCCCTATGAGGAAGACAGAGATAGGAAGTGTTCCTTTATGGGGTCTCCAGAGAGGCAGCCCCTTGAGGATAGTGGACAGGAGATTTAGTGGAGAAATTAGAAAAAATAAATAAATTAGGCTGGAGAGAAGCACCTACTTAGGGAGGGTGATATACACACCTAAAGACACTATCACCTGCCTTAGCACCACCATCCCTTGAAACCACAGCCCCAGAGAGCCAGAAGTCTGCAGATCAGGAAACTGAAAGGACAGCAGGAGGAATGGAGGTCATGTACAAAGAAGGATATTCAAGGCTGATGACAGAAGGAATAGTTGAGGAGCCCCAGTGACTATCAGACCCCTTTCTTATCCTTACCAGGACCCAAAGGAACAATGAGAGGAGACAGAGCTAGGCCTGATGTGCCTTTATTTCTTTCAGTTATGCTTGCGGCTAGAGCGGGGGTGAGGGAAAAGCCCATGGCCTGGGCTCCCTGGAGACCAGGGCTGATGATACCAGCTACCATAGGTAAGGTACCAGGCAAAGGTGCCTACCGCGGCACCCACCACCTTGTGAGTGTACTGGTGGAAATAGATGACGGTACAGAGCAGCAAGAAGTTCCAGAGGCCCAGCAGCAGCACGTTGAGCAGGAAGACCAGGCGCAGGGGGGTGCCAGCAGGCAGCCCATGGGCCAGGTACTTGGCAAACACTGCTGCTTCCTCAGCCATAAGCAGGCAGCAGAAGGTGAGCAGGAAAGTGTGGGAAGAGACGGTGTAGCCCCGCCACTGGTGGCCGGCAGCCAGGCAGCTGCGGCGGTCAGGTAGCTCATGAAGCAGCAGGCCCTGGGGCAGAGGCTCGAAGCAGGAACCAGTCAGGTCCTCGATGAGCAGGAAGGCCCGGCCGGCCCCCCTCCACACTGCTGCCCCCACCACCAGTCTGCTCAGGTGCCTGGCAGTCACTGCCACTCGCCGTGTAGCCAGGAACACCACCAGCAGCACAAAGCCCCCCAGGAAGGTGCATGTCCAGCCCCAGGCTGAATTCACAAACTTGCTGTGGGCAGAGAAGAGAGAAGGCTACTGAGACCCCCCAGCCTCACCTCCCCATCCTGGTCATCCAGTGTTCCCATCATTGGTCTGTCCCCAGTTCTACACATCATCACTGGTTCTCCTGCCCATGTCCTTTATAGCCCCCAGTCATTTAAACGTCACTATCCCTTTAGAGGACCACTGAGCATTCTAGGGCCCACATTTCCTCTTCAGTTCTACTCCTGCCCCTGCYCTGTACCCCCACACTGTCCCCCTCCCCCTCCCTCTGACCTTCTCCTCAACCTCCTATACTATTTTTAGAGTTCAGACTGGCAGCAGAACAGAAACCTAGAGAAAGGAGCTGGGATCCCAGAGTGTAGGGAGCCGGGTCCCATGCCCTTATGTGGACTCACATGTTGAAGAAGTTGCCGTGGCTGGCGAAGATAGTCCGAGAGTTGACATGGAACTGTAAAAGGGGCCCAAAGATGACCACCGCTGCCAACCAGGCATGGTAGAGGCGCCGTAAGCAGGGGCTTCCCAGAAGGCGGGCAGCCTGTTCACTTCCAAAGTATAGCAAGGCAGAGGCTACCCAGAGGAGCACCTTCACCAGGCAGCCCAGCAGTGCCCGGATTCGGGTCCCAGCCCCCGGCCCTGCCCCCACCACCGGCCCCCGCTCCATGTTCCCTCCCCTCCCCACTAACTGCCTGCTCTGCTGGGCAGCTGAGGAGGGGCTGATGGGCCCCCCTCCTCGCGGGGGCAAGGACAGGCAGTGACAGGTGTGGCAGACACAGGGCAGAGCCCTGTTGGCAGCTGGCAGGCGGGGGAGAGGGGCGGGGGTGTAGTAAGGGGCCAGGGTGAAGGGCTGTCACGTCAGCAGGGTCCTGGCCTTGGGTGTGTGATAGTGTGTGTCCTGACAGCAGCCTGAGTCCTTTCCTATTAGCCCTGTGTCCTTAGCTCCCTCCAACTACATTCTAATTCATGTCTCAGGACCAGGCCTACTGTTCAGGGCTGTCATGTCTACAGCCTGCTTGAGTGTGCCTGCCTTAGTTTGGTCATCCCAAATCCCTCTACTCTGTACCCAACTCCACAGGGAAATAAGAGGTCATGAAGTTAAAACTAACCAAATTTTAAAAGTCATTCAAACAAATCTGTGTCTGCCTTACTATCAGTGTGGTCTAGTCCTTCTCCTGGGGTTCTGGGAAGCAAGGTGGGTGTGCACAATAGTGTCCCCTTCAGGTTGCATAAAGCCTATCAACTGTGGTGTCCACTTCAGTGAACTGTGACCCCTGGACTGAGGGGGCTCTAAAGGGTTAATTTAGCCCAGGGCTGCTGTGCAAACCAATGGCTGTGCAATGAATGCACAAGGGAGCACATCTGATGAGGCACCATTTGTGTTTATGATGACGACCAACAGAAGAAATTCAAATGTTCTGAGAAAGGCATTTTGTGTGAAATGATTAGTAGCTCAGGTTAGACTCTCAGAACCCCAAAGATGAGGTTTATTCTCAGGTCACAGGTGACCCTAGAAAAAAAKAAATCCCCAGTCTGGACAATTCTTCAAAACATTAGGTTTACTCAGGTGTGACAGTGAATACCTATAATCTTACTGACTAGGGAGGCTGAGGCAGGAGGATGGCAAATTTGAGACCAGCTTCAGCAATTTAGCAAGGCTCTAAGCAATTAAGTGAGACCCTGACTCAAAAAAGGGTTGGGGATGTAGCTCAGTGGGGGTAAAGCACCCCTGGGTTAAATCCCTGATACCCCAAACAAAACAAATAAACAAAATCTTTAGTTTCAGTTGGATGTGGTGGTACAAGCCTATAATCCCAGTGATTTGGGAGGTTGAGGCAGAAGGATCCTAAATTAGAGATCAGACTCAGCAACTTAAATAAAAATAAAAAGGGCTGGAGATCTAGCATGGTGGTAGAGTTCCCTTAGATTCAATCCCCAATACCAAAATCAAACAAACAAAAACTTTAGGTTTTGTCCTCAACCAATTACCCTGAGCCTCAGGTACCCAGTCTGGGCCTCCTAAACCCACCACTGGGCTGGAGCAGCAAGAGAGCAACTGACCCAAGAAGTCCCTGTTATTCAGTAACTATTTCAAGATCACTTTTTTTGTCTTCCTTCTTCATTCCTCAAAACTGATGGTGGGCTTTCAGAGCACAGTAGAGGCCCATGAGGCAGTGAAATAAATGAGCAAGAAAGGTTCCCCAGGTTGTGTCCTAACAGTGACTTTGACTTTGGGAAAATCTGCCAATCCTTCTCTGTACTCAGGGCCCTCATCTATAAATTGATCAAGATAGATTAGATAATCAGTGAAGTACCTTCCAAATCCTAAAATCCCAAACTTCAACAGAGTGGCCTTCATGTCTCTTTGCTCAGACACTATAAGAATTTTGAAGACCTACAGACCTCCTCACACATTTTTTAAGTTGGACATGAAATGTTCCATTTGTGATTCTGAATAGTTGAAAAAGACATAGCTTCCAGTGTATTTTATCTGCTGACATTTTAATATAAAGCTATCACTTTTCTTTTTCTTGCAGTACTGGGGATGGAACCCAGGGCTTCATGTATGCTAGGCAAGTGCTCTACAACTGAATTACATCRCCAGCCCTATATCACTCTTTTAAATGTTTCCAGTGGAATCTAAACACTACAGTAATGAAATATCTCATCATTATCCACTTTAAAAACATGTGAGAAGATATTAAATCAGAGATCATATTTCTTTTCTATATTCCCCACAGAATTTATCTTAATGTTTTTATGCTGGAAAATCTTTTATTGGCCATTTGTCACATTCTTTGCAAAAAAGCATATGATTTAAAATTTAATTAAAAATTTTTCCTGTGATCATGAAGTCCTAAAACTTTTTTCCTTCTGGACTGAATTTGCATTATAATTGTTAGTAGTACAAAATATACAATTAGTATTAAAAACAGTTTACGCAGTTCAATAACATAAAATTATACTGAAAATGCCTGAGAGGATGGATGGTCCCTGAGACCTTGATCAGATGAGGCTTTGGGGAAACTGATTTTAATTTGCCTCTTAATTTGGCACCCTGGAATTAATAGATTCTGGGTGAGCTGGGAGGGATCCTGGGGGTGAAGTGATGCAGGAGGAATGAAAGGGCAGGTGGGAAAGGAGATCTGGCATGATAGTTTCACACTAGGTAGATTAATCTAAGGAATAAGAACATGTAGAGGCTGAGGAACTGGACAGTTATCTTTTAATAGTATCTATTTGGGGCCAGGCATGATGGCTACTCCTGTATTCCCAGCTACTTGGGACGCTAAGGCAGAAGAATCACTTGGGTCCAGGAGTTTGAGACCAGCTTGGGTAAAGTGGTGAGACCTYACCTCACAACAAAAACACCATACCTATCTGGCTCTTAAATAGGTACCCCTTTTACCCTTTGCTGTGAGAACCCCTGGAAGTGTACACCTGGGTTTCCAAATTGCCTTAGAGAGCAAGACATGCTGTGGGGAAAGATCTCGTCAGAGCCAGATGTGAAACAATCTCACTCAGCCTTCAGTTTCCTCTGAGGCCTGAAGTTCTAAGTGGTAGGCATCCAGATGGGGTTTTYTCTGGCTCTGTGTTCACTCACCACCTCTTATGAAGACTGGAGCAGCTCCAGAACAGAGCTATTCACAGTATTCCTGGGCTGTAACAAAAACTGTGCTTATCTTCTGCTGTCTCCTGGGAAGTTTCTGAGTTTGACAGGGAGACCCTGGTGCAAGGCTCAGTTAATAAACAATTTTAGCATTTTCTTTTCTCATAGGGTGTCAAAAGGATGTTTTCTTCTACTGAGGAGCATACCTGAAGGCTTTGTTGAAACTGTTAAAGTGAGAGGATAAAAGAACTAGATTTGAAAAAGAGACAGTGAGCAGAGACACTGAGCCAGGTTCCCACAGAGGATTTATTGAGGGAGCCAAAGCCAGTGAGAGGACAAAGGAGCCCTATTTCAACCTCCTTCCTTGAAGCTGCTGACCTCCAACATGACAGGACTTTCAGAAAGGTAGGGCCTGTGCCATGTGGGGCTGCGTGAAACTTTTGGAGACCCCTGCCTCTCACATCRCAGCTTGTCCAAATCCAAAGACCCAGGCAAGAGAGAAGACATAATCTTCACCCCAGGAGAGTGCTACGGAAACACCTTTATCTATCCTGCCCTCCCCACCCCCTTAGACCTCAAGAAGAAAGGCCAGGACACCTGGCTCTCTGACTGGCCAATCTAATCCTCAATGTGAAGACCTGGGCAATGGGCCTGGCTGACAGGTTAATTTACACCTGTCCTCAGGTATCTATCTAGGAGCAAACACCTAACATCATAACATGATTAAAAACACTCAGGACAGTTCTCTTGCTGGCAGAAGTCCCACCAGACTCTGGCCAGAGATAGGAACCCAAGCCTACTGGGTGTGCATACATGAGAAGACCACCTGGCCTTGTGGGGTGGATCTTCCAGGGCTAGCCAAAAGCCTGGGCTTCCTTTTCTTGCCACCCAATTCCAGAGATTCCTCCAGACATTCCCCAGAAGAGAAAGAGGAGGAGAAAGAGGAAGAGAATTTGTTGAGAGGTTCACCCTGTAAGGAGCTGGATGTCTGATCTACTGGGGTGAGGAAAAGGCCGTACAAGAGCGGAGCACTGGGGTAGGGGCACTGGTGCGTTCCTCTGTCTCTGGCATGTCATCCGGGAAGTACTCAGCCTGGCGATACTGCCACAGACGCAGGTTCCCGTCCCACTGCAGGGCAGAAGGTACCAAGTAGTCAGGGGGTGCTGCCCCTTCCCAGGTCTAAGTCCCAGACACGTGCTGTTCCCTCAAACTTGCGACCTCACCGAACTGCTGACAATCTTCTCTTCAAAGGGGTGCCAACTGACATCACGCACACAGGCCTTATGGTTCGTCAGCTTCTTCACGATGTGGCCACTGAGGAGATCGTACACTGTCCGGGAAAGCCAGAGTGGAGAGGAGCTGCCACAGAACTTTAAGGCACCCACTGGCTCCCCAAAAGGCACCAATGACCTAACTCTTGGGCAACTTCCCATTTTCCCATGGGAATGGGGTTATTTTGGATTCCTTCCCCAGCTTAGGTTGAGGCTATGGTATGTTGGTATCCCTGATCCTCATCTAAAATTCAAAGGCCTAACTTAAGAAAACAGTTGCCTTAAAGCTCTTAGCAAGATACAGACAGTGGCAAAAGTGAACTCTGCACCTGCTTGTCCTTGGCTGGACAGGGTGCATCTCTCATTTCTGCAAGGGTCTCTGTGTACCTATCTAGGTGYAGCATGCTGTCAAGCTTTTTCTATCATCTATAGTTCTGCTTGTGTTTCTTTTTGTGCATTCCTCCTGCTTCAGTGATTGCAAGTCCTTTGCTACTTGATGCTCTCTTTTTGTGTCATTCTTTTTGCCTGTTTCCTCCTACCTTTCATCTGTAACCCCCCCTTTCCTTGACTAAGAAAACATAACAAACTATATTTTTAGTAATCGATTATGTTTACTGACTAGAATTCCATGTCCCTTTTCTTAATTTAAAATGYTCACAAACAGAATGGTTTTTATTCTCTGTTTAAGCCTCCCCTGCTCCAGGCCAAATTAAATTTCATTAGGAGTTGTCATTTGGCTTTTTTTTTTTTTTTTGGTTGCTCTGGTTATAGGTGGAATGCCAGAAAAACATTCCTGCTCTTCCCAAGCCCCCTGTTCTGACACAATCCTTACCAACCACTTTGCCAGTAGAGCAGCCACTATAGATGAACTGCTGGCCTGTGCTATGAGTCGGGGAGAAGCGGCAGCGGATGAGGGTATGCAGCACCCCGTGGCCTCGGTAGGTCATCAAGGAGCTGTCCCCTGGGAGCTTCAACTTCCGCCAGGCTGGGTAAGGATTCATGGAAAGCTCTAGATTAGGGAGTCTGCTTCTGGATTGTCCAGTTGTTCTTAACAAAGACTCAGAGTCTAGTCTCGACTTTTTTTTTTTTTTTTTTTTTGGGCAATACTAGGGATTGAACCCAGTGCCTCACACATGCTAGGCAAGTGCTCTACCATTGAGTTATGTCCCCAGCTCTCAAATATTAACTCTTTCCCCACCCAACAGTCAACAGTGATCAATATACTTTTGTACTGGTTGGCTCTGGGTGATCCCCAGCCTTCAACCCTGGGAATCCCTGGATATCCTCGTGGGCCAGTGAATCAAGGGTTAATGCCTAGAAAAGGGGGTTGTGATAGGGCTCCGGGACTCCTGGGCTACAGATGAATCCATTGAGCCCATGCCAGACCCTACCAGTGATTAAGTACTTTCATTTCCAACCCAATTCTTAAGTCTAAATCTCAGTTCTTTCCATTTTCACCTTTTTTGGGCACCTGCTGCCAACGGTAGTCCCAGTTTTGCTGGGTGGCAGCCTGGCGTGAGGCTTCCATGCCTTCCCGGCTAGAAAAGCGTCGGATATCCCAGAGCTTGATGGTCTGGTCTTTGGAGTTGGAGATGAGATACCGGGCATCACCCTATGAATCCAAAGATAGATCAGAGTTTGCCATGTCACTACCTGTTAATCTAGTTCCCTGCTCTAGCTGAGGGGTAAGAACCTTTCCTTTTCTGATTTTGCTTGCCTCTTTATTCATCCAGGTGAGTTCATCTTTGATGCTCTGCTTCAGATCTCACCCCCTGGTTAGGTTTTTCCTTTCTTTTCCCAGGGTACTGATTAAATATCCTATTTTATTCTAGATTAGATGTCCTCTACTTTTCTTGTAAAGAAAACCCTGTCTGCTTCTTAAGGATTGGCAGATATGAGGGAGCTCATGTTTCCTAGTTTAAGCCCCTTCTCTAAACTCCTGCTCTTGCACACCCCAGCTAATGAAGAGCTTGTCAAATACCCACACCAGTATCCTTCACACCCTCCTAGGCAACCARAACTTCAGTAGCCTGGCTGTGCTGCCCTGCCTCTCTGCCCACCTTGCTGTCAATGAATGTGATGCCATCCTGGTGTCCAGCCAGTGCACCCACAGGCTTGGGGTCATCCTCCCGCATGGTGCGTCGATCCCACACTTTGCAGATGGCATCATCTCCCCCAGAAAACAGGATCTGGGAGCTTATATCAGCAAAGGCCACTGCATTCACATCATCTTCATGAGACTCAATCTAGAGGAGAAGAAGGCTAACACACTTAAGATTCCTTAAAATAGGTCAAAGACCAGAAGACAGAGGCTATAAGTCTCAGGAATAATACCTGAAGGGTGCGCCGGTTTTGTTCTCGGTCAAAGACATACAGACAGCCATCATTGGCCCTGAAAGGGAAGGGATAAGGAGGGTGCTAGAGCCATGATTGAGTGGACCAATTTTATGTATACTCTGGAGAGTCCCGCTGAGAAACTTTATTGAGGGTCAAGCCCTTGTCTGTTCCTATACAGGAAGTAGGACAAGAGTGAGCTTTGTTTTCAAGGAGACTTGAGAACTGTCTCCTCATGTTGGGAAAATGGTGAGCAAGAGGGGAAGCAGCTCATAAACCCCAACTTTAGAGAAGACTGGTTGTTTTCCGTAGCTAACAGTTCAAACTCTGTGACAGCAGAAGTGATCTCTAGCAGAACTCCTCTATCTCATTAATTGAGGGGGACATCCCCCACAAACACTTACCCCCCAAGTATTTCTCGTCCATCTGAGGAGACAGCAATGGAAAAGACAGCAAAGCGACGCTCATCTGGTCTGAAGAAAGCAAAGGAGTTGTGTTGGGTGGACTACCCTATAGCTTTTGTTAATCTACAGAGAATCTGACAAGGATTATAAAAAAAAAAAAAGAACAAGAAAGCCTTCCGATACATGCTAGAATGCAGACYACCTTAGTGAGAACTTATAAATAATCCTGTAACTGTCTATTTCACCCTGGTCTTCTGGCTGACAATTCCCTCCCAGGAATCCATGCAGAGAAACTTGCAACCAGTATACTTTTCCCTCTAAGCGGGAGTTTCAGTTCAAGAGGTTTGCTCCTGGGGAGACTTCCTTGAGAAGTTTCTAGAGAGTATGATGAGAAAGAGAAGCCAATACCTTAGATCCAGGGCAGTGTGTGTGTCTCCTTCCCCATAGATATTGCAAATATGAACTAAGAGAAGCAAGAGAAACAAAATTTTTTCAGGGCTGTGGACATAATGTGGAAATGAAGCTATGGAAGACACAGGAAAAAGGTAAGGTCATCAGAGCACCTTGAGAGTGATTTTCTCAGGACAGGACATGGAGTCTTGTCTCAGAGAAAGATGCATGGAGATCTCATATTCTAGGCTGGAGACATAGAAGTCTGGTGTATACTCACTGTAATCAGACCAGCTGGAGTAGAGGAAGTGGTTCCCATCAGGGGTGAAGGCCACATCCAGGACGCTCCAGCCTACATCCCGGGCCTTGATACTCTTGAATTTATGGAAACGGCCATATCGGCAGTCATACAGTCGGATTGTCTGGTCTGTGTAAGTAGGAATCAGGCAGAATTATGGAACACCTTTTTTGTATCCTTCCTAGATCATACCTCTCTCTCAGTGTCTGTAGACTCTTTCCTTTATCATGGGAAGCAGGTGCTAACTAAGCATCACTAAATTAGGTTCTGAGCTCCATGGTCTATGACTTTCTGTCCTCAGTAAACTCATTCCTTGTTCCAGAGAAAGGCAGTATAATTATAGGAGCTGGGTCTGGTACCTTGGCAAGCAGACATGAAGATTTGACCATCTTTGCTGTAGATACCACAGAAAGCCTTCTGTGAGTAGGTATCAGTGAAGCCCAGACTATTGGGCAAGAAGCTGGGGAAGCAAAGTGAAAAGTAAGTGGAGCTCAGAATAAGAATTTCAGTTAGCAGAATGTAACACGAGTACAAGCACATTATTCCTTTTTACCTTCAGCTATTCCACCATCCTCTAAATTTCTATACTTTTCCATTTTGTTTATTCTCAAAGCCTCAACCCCTTAACTAACCTTAATATCTTGGAAGATCCTTTAACACCTATCCCTTCAATATTAGGAGAAAAGATCTATCTGGCCCTTAGAATCTCTCCACCAAGCCCCATACTCACTGAGACATCACTCGAGACCGTTCTCCAAGGGAGAAGCTTCCCCGGTGGCAGAGGCCCCGTTCTCTCTAAATGGAAGGGATTGGGGAATATTGCTAGCAGAAATAGAGGGCCACTTCAGTCACACCAACCCCCTCCTCCAAGGAAATTGTTTTTGCTACTGAAACAGACACCATACACAGTCTATCCAATATGGACTAACTCTCCAGCCCCAGCATKTGAGGTTTCCTTGCAAAGTTTGCTTCTTTTTTCTCTCTGGGGCTAGCAGAGCTTCTGGTTGCCTAGCAGGTCTGCTGCTAGGCTGGCTGGAGGTGGAGAGGCCTACCTGGTGTAGCATTCGAGGAAAACTGTTCTCCTGGGATGCCTGCCTAAGTCCCAGCCGCCCAGTGGCCAGCTCCACCTGTGTCTTGATCTCATTGCATTCCAGTTCCCGGGTGTCAGGGGTTGCGTCCACTGTGAATACCAAAAAGAAGTTTCTGGGTCTTCAAGCCCCAGAAGACAGCAAAATTATGCCCAAGCCCACCCAATATGGCTGAATATATACAGGGGCTATATTCCCTCATTTCCTCAATTATCCCATCCTCTTTTTTTTTTTTTTTTTCAAATTAACCTATTATCCTTCACCAGAATAAAAAAGGGTTTCCTAGTGAAAAATCTTTAAACATTAAGGTTTTGGTCTATCTTCTTACCAGGTGGATTGTATCGATCTCCCAGACGACCATCCCAGGCACTGTCATGCTCTTCCTCCGAGTCCGAGAGGGCCTGGATGAGTTGTAAATTTGCTGCACCTCCTCCCTGCACCAACCTCACTTGGCCTCTGTGGAGAGACCCCCCCCCATTATAAAGGAGGGGACCCCTTTCTCCAAACCAACTAAATTCAGAGTCAATAGTATCCAGTACCTTTGGTACTCATTTTGACGTTTGAGGCTAACTAGCTCTTGGCTGTTATTTTCAGTCTCCCGTAAGACACTGTAGAAAACTGATTTGTACTTTTGGTGCAAGAGCAGAGAACCCTAACATGCTATGGAGGCTGACCTACTAAGCTGACCTCTCCAAGAACTAAAAAGGAGAGCATTTCCTTCTGAGCCTCTGTTAGAGGAATCCAGCATGGTACACAATATTATTAAGGGCTCTCAAAGTTTATCTTCTAAGGAGCCACACACAAAGAAACAAAGCCAGCTGCACCCTTTTCCAGTCAATTCCTGGTGGTTACTCCCTTCAAGGCATTCTTTCCTCAAAAACAGTGTTAGAGTTTGGGGCTGGGGTTGCGGCTAGTGGTGGAGCACTTGCCTAGCATGTGTGAGGCACTGGGTTCAATCCTCAGCACCACATAAAAATAAATAAATAAAAATAAAGGTATTATGTTCATACAACTAAAAAAAACTTTAAAAAAACTGTTAGAGTTAGGCCAATTTAAACTTGTTTTTCAAGTAAATCCACATGGTCTCATATCATGTGTCAATTACTTCAACATCCCCCTCCCCAACTCTTTACCTCTCAAATAACTCCTTTCCCTTCAATGCCCCCCTTTTTTTCTTTCCTTTTACTTACATGGAAGTTAGATCACATTCTGTAGTTATAGCCAGAGAAATTCCCCTAAGCAGCCCCTTCAACACAAGAGTGGGTCCTTTGTTGACTGGCTCCAAGTAAGAACCACTCTTACTGGGCATGGAGCTGAGTGCCATGGGTGTGCAGTAGGGAAAGGCTGCTCGGTTTAAACAGAACACCGTCTTGGACTAAGCTCATTCCCTATCCTCTGTAATTTTCTTGCCTAGAGTTGGGATCAAGGGACTGTGGTGGCACCTTGTGGAGCCACACCAGAGAGGAAGTTACCTGCGAAGGAGATAGGCCAGTACCTGGGCCAGATCCACATCTTCATCCTCCTCTTCCTCTTCCTCGCTCCGACGCAGGCCAGCCCCTCTTCGGGACAAGCCCTCAGAGGGGTCTCCAGACCCGGATCCTGCGCTGCTGCTGTTCCGAGAGCCCATCTTCTGGTCACAGCATCCTTAGGTCCTGTGCAGAGGCTCCTTTTGTCAACTCCTTGGGTTTGGTGAAAGCAAAGTCTGCTCTAGAAAGACCAGGGTCTCCTGAGTTGATGGCAGTAGCTATCTCTAGGAGGGAGACCCTTTTTAGTGACTGAGATCCCGTCTCTTTAGCCTATGACAACTCCCAACGCTTCGGGAACACAAACCTTCCCCAATCCTGTGAGCAAAGAACGCGGAGYGAAGCTTAGGGTGCGACCTTAACTCACAAATAAGAATCCTTTCAAGAGGAATTTCTCAGCTTCCTACCTCAAACTCACCTATCAAAGTCCCCTGGGGGGTGGATTCCCAGGTAACCCCTCCGGTCAACCAATCAAAACCACTCGCGGAAGAAAGCGCCTCACTAGCTTATCTCATCCAACCAATCAAAAGCCTTAGGACTCAGAGACCCCCGACAACCCCCCTTACCGACCAATCAGAGTGCTTTCTTTCAGGAGCCGGCAGCAACGACAGCCAATGAAGTTAGAAGTCTGCCTAACACCCCCTCCTTCTTTGCCTCACGCCCACGTGGTGTTCCGGGGGTGTGTACACCAAAGGGGAGAGGAAGCCGAGAAGCACCTCCCACTGGAGCCGGCGGTTACCGCCCCGTGCGGGACCACCCACCAGCCAGGAGCGGTCGCAGGACCCGCGGAGGCGCGAGGCCTTGTTTACACCGACTGCTGCCGCAGCTTCCGTCAACCGCTCCTCCGTCACGCGCCTCCTTCGTCATGCATCTCCCGGCTTCCCCGCTGGCAGGCTGTCTACGTCACGCGACGCTCCTGATGGCTCCGCCCCCTTGATCCGCTTGATCCGGTGATTGATAGGTGGGCGGGAGGAAGTGCGTGACAGAGGAGGGGCATTCACTCTTGGTGGAGAGGACTACAGGGAAACTGGTAGCTTTCTGCTTAAGAGATAGCGGAACTAGACGTAATGACTGGGAGGCGGGATTCACAAAAGAATCKGTTGATGATTAGCTACTGAGAGGTATTTTAGCGAGGGATGCAATTTACCGTTGATCCCTAAAGATCATTTGGCCTTGAACTTCTTGGACACTGCCCCGGAGCCTCCACTTTGTCCCATCCCCCAGCGTTCTCTTTCGTTCTCTTAGCCGGCCTAAGCTCCATCGACTCTGTCYTAAAGAGTGTCCGACGCCTTTACGTCACAGATGGGGGACTCAGACCCACACCTTCCTTCTGGGTTTAGCTTGTGGAAACCTTTTTCTTGTAGGAAGAGCCTTTACTAGACCTCCTCCTTTCTGCTTAGTCCTTTTTAGACGATCCCTGGCTTCCCTCTGCAGTCTTTGCAGACACTCCCTAATACACCCTTCTGTCTCCTTGGGCCTTTCGGGTTCCTTCAGTTCCCTGAGACCTCCCTTGGCCCGTCAGGATTTGCTGATCTTCCCTCTGTTTTCGCGGAGCGGCTCAGTACCCGGCCGCGGGTTCAGGGTGTGCACGCGCGCCGCCTCCTACCCTCTCCTGCGGGTTTATGAGTAACAGGGCTGAGTCCAAGGCCGGGACCTGCCACGTCTGGGGATCCTTGCCCAGTCTGGGGGTTGGGAGGCGTGACCTCGCTGTGCGGGTGCGAAGGTCCGGGGTTGAGCTCCATGAAGCCCCACCTGCTCGGGACCCTTAGAAGTGCTGCCAGATTTCCTCGTACCTAGCCCCCTAAGGGCGGAGAGGGGTTGGCGGGCCCTCAGTTCCTCTGGCTGGAGCTCACTTGCTGGAGGACTTTGGGGTGATATCCCCCGGAGCCCGTCGCTGGGACCTGCTTTGTGGGCGTGCGACTTTTGTGGTTGAACAGAGGGCTTTGCCCTTAGAAGAGTCCCATGCTTTGTGTAATAATGTTCTGGTGTCACCGTTTTGAAATTCTTAATMACTTAAGTGGCCCGTATTTTTATCTTGCTCTGGACTCCATAATTATGGAGGCAGTTCTGTGCCTTTAGAATAACATGTTTCTGGGTTGTCCAGCGGGGAAAATCTGGACTTATTTTGATCTTTTCCTTGCCTTTTAAGTTCAATTTTTAAAATTCCTATAGATATTTTACCTGAGGTTAATTTTTCCAGTCACCACACATTTTTCTCCATGCCTCCCCACCTCATTGATTCTCTGAAGTATCCTCCTCGAGCAGCTTTTAGTTAGTTCCTAAGAACCCATAAGTGGTCCATTGTTCATTTTATTCTTTCTAATAAAAACTTTTCCCAACCTACTTGTATTGTTTTTGTAATCTGTATTTTTTTCCCTTTTTAAGTATTTCTGCCAGGCATAAAATAAAAGCCTTGCTTATTTCCACTTCTGCACCCTCCCAGAATGTTTTATCTGAGGAAAGCTTTGTCTCTCCGCATCAAGTTCTCTTCCTCGCAGCTTTGTACTTTGACTAAGTGGTATCACTTCGGCTTATTTAGCTTGACCCTGCATAAAATTTATGTTTTGCATAGCAATCATTGATAATAGTGGAACATTGGGAACAAAATAGACCCAAATATCCTACAAAATGGGATTGGTTAAATAAATTAGGAGCCACATGGTACAAGAAGTGCCTGGTAACCGTTAAAATGGTGTAGTGGGCAGAGAATGGAGCTCAGTGTTAGAGTKCTTGCCTAGCATGTGCTAGGTCCTGGGTTTGATTCTCATTAGGGYGAAAACAATAAATAAAAAAGGGATGTTGACTTCTTCTATTTTTATTTCTTGGAGAATTGTGCAAACAACATTAAAATTTTAAAAAGGTAGTAGGGCCCAGGGGTGTAACTCGCTCAGTGGCAGTGCATAGATTCAGGCTCTGGTTTCAGTTTCCAGCACTAAAGAAAAGGTAGTATTTAGTCCTTCTGGTGTCATATTCTGGGGAATACAAAACCAATATGGCCTTATTTTTGTATTAGAAAGTATAAAAATAACCCAGGCTCATTGTATAGTTAAACAAATACTGAAATGGAGAAGGCCTTGCATGAAACAGTGACAAAGATGTACCATGAACAAAGGATTATGATTAATATGATTCTAGCACCTATGGTCCAGAAAACAAAACAAAATTTCTGTTAAACTCAGGGTGTGTGTGTGTGTGTGTGTGTGTGTATTTAAGTACTGGGGATTGAACAGAGGGCCTTGCATATGCTAGACAAGTGCTCTCCTGCTGATATACACTCCCAACACCACCACCCCAACCCACCCCAGCTTGGCATAAACTTGGGATTCTCCTGCCTCAGTCTCAGTAACTTATTTTTTGATGATCTCTTTCCTTTTCTTCTCTTTACCATTTGCAAATCTAGCTTACACCTGAAGAACATCTTGTTAATTCAATCCTTAGTAATGTAGAACTTATACATTATTGAATAAAACATTAAAATTCATGGTAAATATTTTTAAAAATCATGTTTTAGGACCAAAGTAAATCCTTCTGAATATTAAATGCTAAAGTAGCAGTATATGCTAGGTGCAGTGGCACATGCCTGTAATTCCATTGGCCACATTGGCTTGGGAGGTTGAGACAGGAGGATTGCAAATTTGAAGCCATAGTAACTTAATAAGGCTCTTAGCAACTTAAACTCTGTCTCAGAATTCAAAACAACACACAAAATGTAATATCCATCACTGGATCCATTGATTTTTTTGTGATCTTGGGCATTGAACACAGAACCTCATGCATACTGGGCAAGTGCTCTACAACTGAGCTATACCCCAGCTCTGTTGATTCATTTTTTTTAATAAACTTTTTTTGTTGTTTTTAGTTGTAGGTGAACACGATACCTTTATTTTATTTATTGTATTTTTATGTAGTGCTGAGTGTTGAATCCAGAGCCTCCTCACACACTTGAGGCAAGCGCTCTACCACTGAACTACAACCACAGCCCCTGTTGATTCACTTTTGTAGGTAAAAGATCTTAAACCTATGAATTTTATTATGTTCCTTGTGTCCTATAATGATTTTTGAAATGTGTACAAGTACACATGTCTAGAAAAAAAAATCAATCCAGGAGCATTTATATTTTGGGGTTTATTGAAAGAAATAAAATGACATCTTTAAAAAAATAATTATAGGGCTGGGGATATAGCTCAGTTGGTAGAGTGCTTGCCTTGCATGCACAAGGCCCTGGGTTCAATCCCCAGCACCACAAAAAAAAAAAAAAAAAATTACAGTTGTCATTTCTATGATTCTATAGGCCTTCCCTTTCTTGATTTTGATGTTTGACTTGTTGCTTGGTGAGTTTGTAAAGTGATTCTCATTTGGGCAGCCTCTACTCTCCCCAGCTACACTTAGAGTTACAACTACAGAAAAATTTTTATCTTCAGCACCCATTTTAGGATCATTTCTAGTATACCAAGAGTTGACTTCCTGTCTGAGCTGCTTTGGTCTGTTTCCTGCTCTTGAGTATCTCCACTAGGGGGCGGGCTGCACTAGAGAGGAGTGAAGGAAAGCAGTTTTCAATTTCTGATTGACCTGACTTTTTCTGGCCTACTGAAACTTCAACCCCCAGCTTGGTGACCACTCGGAGGTCAGAGAGATATCTCTAGGTGACTTTATATTTTTTTATATTTTCAGTACTAGGGATTGTACCCAGGGATGCTCTACCACTGACCTGTACCCCAAGCCCTTTTCTTTTTTTTGAAACAGGGTTCTTGCCTCAGCCTCGAGAGGAGCTGGGATTATAGGTGTATGCCAGTATGCCCAGTTTAATCTAGGCAACTTGAAGGCAAAGTTCCATCTTCTGAAGTGACTGATGCCCACACATGTGTTTATACCTTGTCTTCTTGTATCACTCTGTGTAGACGGAAAGGGAGGAGTATTATAATTTACCTAGGGACTTAAAATGTGTTGATTAGAAAGCAATTGAGTAATTATGARATATGCCAAGACTCTCATCTCTCATGTCTTAGGTCCTTAAGAATCAGATTTTTTTTTTTTTCCGTGTGTGTAGGATAGGAGCTGCAGATATAATATAGAAGTAAAAACTCTTTAGCCCTAATTTTGGACAGGAAGTGGAAATATCAATATGACTTCATGGGATGTTTCATTTCCTATCTCAAGCCACCAAAAAAGTCTAGTAAAAACCACCAATCCAGAAGCAATGAACACTCTTAGTGTATAGATTGTAATCTTAAAATACCATTCTCAACTGAAAGAAATTGGAGCTTTTAGAAGTAGTTGATTCCAGGTCTGGGGCAGGAAATATACGAGTGTGGAACAGTTAACCATACCAGACGTGGAAGAATCAAGTAGGAACTATAGAATATGTCAAACAGACTCAGGAACTGAGCTCCCATGGCCAAAGGATGATTCAAGCATTTTTTTTAATATTTATTTTTTAGTTCTCGGCGGACACAACATCTTTGTTGGTATGTGGTGCTGAGGATCGAACCCGGGCCGCACGCATGCCAGACGATCGCGCTACCGCTTGAGCCACATCCCCAGCCCCATGATTCAAGCATTAATAAAGGTAATTTAATAAACACTAAATGTGTTTAAGTTCATGAGTGTATAATGGTGTGCATGTGTTTATAACTAATTGGTCATCTTTTTGAAGAATAGTAGGAAACCAAAAAAATTTTTTTTAAGGTACTAGAGATTGAATCCAGGGGTAGTCTGCCACTGAGCTACATCTGCAGCCCTATTTATTATTACTTTAAAATTATTATCATTATTTTCATACTGGAGATTGAACCCAGGAACACTTAACCACTGAGCCACATCCCCATCCCCTTTTTGTATTTTATTAGAGACAGGGTCTTACTGAGTTGTTAGGGCCTCCAGGGCCCCGCTAAAGTTGCTGAGGCTGGCTTTGAACTCACAATCCTCCTGCCTCAACCTCCTGAGCTGCTGGGATCACATGTGTGCACTACCATGCCTGACTCCGAGTCATTTTCATTTTGAGACAGGGTCTGACTAAGTTGCTGAGTCTACCTTTGAACTTGGGATCCTTCTGCTTCAACCTTGTGAGTTGCTGGATTACAGGCCTGTGCCATCATACCCAGTAAGAACAGATTTTACTGTCACTGGTAAATAGAGCTACAGAAGCTTTTGCATGTCTCAGTGGGAGATCAAGAATTTTAGTCCTGGAGACTGCCTTGAGGAACTAGCTCAGGCCTACATCTTTTTAAGACCTCAGGATACATGAGGGCAATGCCTTCTCCTAACAGTTCCTACTTATGTGACCCAGAGGTGAGATTGATGTTAGAGGGAAACCTGTGAAGTAGGTAGGAAATGAAAACAGTACAAATGTTATATAAAATAAATGAGCATCTCTTATTATTGGACAGTRTATGGGGAAGGTCTGTGGTCTGGTCTCAGATGTTAACACCAAACTGCTCATATTTTCTGCAAGCCTGGGGCTCCCTTTTCCCAGATGTTGGTATTGTGCTATTTTGCCAGTATGAGTTGGGTCACATTTTGCGCACACGTCCCTCCAGGGCCTCCAGCTCAGCCAACACCTCCTTGGGCAGATCCTCATTGACCTGCTCTGTCAGATAGTTCCGAATGTCACGAACCTCCTGTTCCCAGAAGTCCTTGGGGAGCGAGAACAGCTGAGTGGTGTCTATGGCTCCAAGGCCTCTGAGATCCAGAGCTCCTTCTTTTGGCACCAGCCCGATGGGTGTCTCTCGGCCACTATCCTCCCCTTCTAATCTCCGGCAGATCCAGTCTAGAACCCGAGCATTCTCCCCAAAGCCTGGCCACAGGAATTGGCCTGCCTCATCACGCCGGAACCAGTTGACATGGAAGATGCGAGGTAGCCGGGCTCCCTTGCGCTCCTCCATGCTCAGCCAATGTTCCAGGTAGCGCCCAAAGTTGTAGCCAAAAAAGGGCCGCATGGCAAATGGGTCATGCATGATGATCTTCCCTACGGCAGGAGAAGGATGGGTAAAGAATCTTCCTCTTTTAAGGAAGGAAGGGAAGGGCACACTGTATCCAGTTGGAGGAAGTTTAAAAGGTTCACAGTTCTGGAATGTCCTCAGAGAAAGTGAAGACAAAGAATGGGGGTAAAGGTAGAAGTAGAAAGAGGTGGAGTCCCTGAAGACTCCAGGGAGGGCAAAAAGATCTGGCTCAGAAAGGGAGACAGAAGGGGATGTGGGCACACATGAGAGGAAGCGATGAGCAATGTACTTACCTTTGTGTTCAGCTGCCGCAGTGGATTCAGAGCGCATGGCACTACCCACGAATACCCCATGACGCCAGTTGAAGGCCTCATATACCAGGGGCACCCCTAGAACACCAATGAACAGGGTCACAGACAGCCCTTTTCTTTGGATACTCACTCTGTCCCTTCTGATAACGACAATCTCATTCTTCTAATACCTCAGCTATCCCATTTTCAGACCCTATTGTTTCCTTCAAATTCTGCATTTACCAGGGAAAAACTCTGGAGACAGCCAGCTACAGTTGGAGATCCAGGCTGAGGCTCCCTGAACTTTTAAGTACAGGAGGGACAGTGGACCCTAGTTTAGAGCTAGGCCTTTTACCAAGAAGGCACAGAGTCCATGTGTTACCTTTGGGTCTGCGGCCTCCAAAAATGATGGCATCAATGGGGACACCCTCTGGGGCCTCCCAGGCTGGGTCAATGATAGGGCACTGACGAGCCGGGGCACAGAAGCGAGAATTGGGATGTGCACAGGGTTCCTTGTCACCTGGCAGAAGAAATACAAATACTGTCACTTCCAAGGTTATGTCCACCCCCAACACACACATACGTGTGCGTACACTCTTGCATAATTTCTTTTTGCCTCATAAGCTAGCTACAGCCTTATGTGGTAAAGAACAGGATGAAGGGAGCCAGGAGACCGCCCCCAAAAGATCAGATATTTTTTCCATCTGGTACTAAAGATTGAACCCACAAGCCTTGCACATGCTAGGCAAGCACTCACTCTACCACTGAGCTACATTACCAGACCTTTGTGTTTTTTATTTTGAGACAGGATCTTGCTAAGTTGCTGAAGCTGGTCTAGAACTTTGTATTATCTTGCTTTAGCTTCCTGAGTTGCTAGAATTATAGGTGTGCACTACTGTGCCCAGCAAGGTCTGGTTATTTTTCCATAATGGTGCTGCCAGAGAAAAAGAGTGGAGGAGGAATTGGGGTTCCACAGGGCACTAATGTTTATGCCAACCTACAGGTACTTGGCACTGACCAGGGCTCATGGAATAGGGCTAGACACTGATGTGAGATTACAATAATTTTTCCCCTATGAACTTTTTTTTTTTTTTTTTAATATTTATTTTTTAGTTCTCGGCAGACACAACATCTTTTGTTGGTATGTGGTGCTGAGGATCGAACCCGGGCCGCACGCATGCCAGGCGAGCGCGCTACCGCTTGAGCCACATCCCCAGCCCTCCCCTATGAACTTTTAAAAAATATTAATTTTTTTAGTTGTAGTCGGGCACAATACCTTTATTTATTTATTTTTTATGTGGTGCTGAGGATCGAACCCAGGGCCTCACACATGCTAGGCAAGCATTCTACTTCTGAGCCACAACCCCAACCCCTCCCCTATGAATTTTTTATTTATAGGATTATTATTTCCCAGACCTAAAGCAAAAACTGCATTCACTAGGGGAAAAATAACAGTTTTGTATTTCAGACAGTTGACTTTCTATCAKCAAAGTAGAGATGACAGAACTACCTGAGCTATCAAAATGCAAACACGAACTGATCTTTTTTTTTTTTTTTTTCGGGGGGAGGGAGTACTGGGGATTGAATTCAGGGTCATTCAACCACTGACCCACATCCTCAGCCCTATTTTGTATTTAATGTAGAGACAAGGTATCACTGAGTTGCTTCAYGCCTTGCCCTTGCTAAGGCTGGCTTTGAATTCTCAATCCTCCTGCCTCAGCCTCCCAAGCTGCTGGGGATTACAGGCATGTGCCACGGCGCCCCACTATACAGGAACTGGTTTCAAAGCTCCCAGAATTTTGTTGATTTCCCTAGGCCTGCTTTGAGCCTGACAGAATGGTAGGACTAGAGTAACTCAGAGAGAGACATAGCCTAGGCAGTATAATCTGAGAAGCCCTGATCACCTGGCACCTTTAGGTGCCCTGGAGAGGGCTTTGGACCAAATCAGGCGCATGTGTGAAGTACCAACATGGGGACCTTGAATGGGCACAGTGCCTTCTCTATTGGAGGTTGCTGGTCAGACCTGGGGAGCAAGGGAGCCAAAAAGTCAACACTCCTACGCACTGCCTCTCCCCAATCTCTGCCTACTTCTCAAATAAGAGCCATCCTTCATTAGCTGCCATTGTAGGACCCTAGCACAGGGTATTTTTTCTGGGAATTGAAGCTGGGTGTAAGATGCCCTAGTTATACCCCTGAATCCAGAGTTGATGAAAGGGTTGGGGAAGTAGCCTGTGGGGAAAGATTAAAGTTTCTCGGATTTCTCAGTTGGATGAGGGGGGTTTAATGATGGTGTTAGAGAAAATGAAGGGCAATTAGACAAGGAAGGTGCCTGCTAGGCCAGCCTGGCAAACTTGAATACAGGTTTTAGCAACCACAAGGCCACCTTCCTAATACTACACACTTCTCTGCTTCTACCTCTTGGTCTCTGGGCTCTCTGACTACAGAAGGCCAGAAAGCTGAAGGTCCAGAGTGCAGGGCTCAGGGAGGCACCTGGGAAATGACAGGGTTGAGAAACTAGCTTCTGGGAAACACTAAAGTGCTAGGCTGATTTAGTGTGGAAGAAGGGTTAGAGTACAGGGGAAGGGTGACAGTAACAACACTGACATTTATTAAGTAAAAACAATGGCCATTATGCAGGGGACAGTGGGAGCCAAGTGGCAGGAGGAGTTAGGCAGAAGAGGGGCAGGCTTCCATATTTCCTAATGCACCAAACTTTATGGATTCTGCTCTGAGTTCAATTCCTTCTGTAACAATTTTCAAGACAGTCCTTCCTCTTCCTCTTTTTTGTTTTTTAATCCAGCTTTATTATAGAAAATTTAGTATATATTCAGCAGTAATACTAAACCCCTTTTATGCATTATTTAGTTCTCCAATAATCTTGAGACCAGTATTTAACAAACATTCTCATCCAAACAAACATTTTCATCCACTGGTGGAGAAACTTAAGGGAGTAAATTTAGCCAAATTCCAAACCAATGATTGGTGGAGTTGGGACATGACCTAAGATCTTGCCTGGGATTGGAAACTGCAAACATTCATAATTTCCTGKGCCTCCCAAAGGAACAGAAGATAGATGGGGGATGTGGAGGAATATTTGCATCATTAAGGTCTGGGCCCTGGGGACTATGTCATGACTTTCTACCCCACATACCAGGTTGCCAGGGTTTGCCTAGCCAGGAGGTCACAGTGACACCAGGTGGAAGAGGCTGGTCAATCCCTTCCCAGTACACGCCGCCATCACTGGTTTCAGCCACGTTGGTGAAAAGAGTGTTACTCTGGATTGTGGCCATGGCATTGGGATTGGTGGTGGCAGAGGTACCAGGGGCCACCCCAAAGAA